TGAGTTGCCGCCATGTGATTGGCTGATTAGAAATTAAGTGTTAACGAGCAGTTGGACAGGTGTACCCAATAAAGTGGCCGGTGAGTGTATATATATGTATATATATAAAAGGTGAGTCATGCCAATTTATGATTGTATTGAAGAAGTAGCCCTTCGTGTTACTCGGTTCCCCAAAAGTAGCTCTCAGTCTCAAAAAGTTTGGTGACCCCTGCTTTAGATTATTTTAATAACTATAATAGAGGCGAGGAAGAGCCAGAGTTCAAATGATGTTTCAGTAAACAAAAACAGAGTTTTATTTTTTAATTTTTCCTTTGATGTCACTTCCTGTTTCACTTCAAAGTTCAAAATAAAATATGCCAATTATGTGACATGATGGGAAATAATCATGTGTATTATGCCAAGTTTCTTAAATATAAAAATGTTTTCTTTGACTCTTTGTATTTCATGGATAAGCACATCACAGACACTTTAAAGGGATTAAAGTCTGACCTCGGTGACCAGCTGCAGATCGTTGACGTAGTTCTCCTCGGTGACGATCAGCTCGTGGATGTAGCCCTGCCTCTTCCTCTCCATCGGACTCAGCATGTCCAGCAGGTGGAGGTCCGCGCACCCTGGAGTCCAGACATGACACAGAACACACATCCTGTCACACACACACACACCATGAGGAGGGGGAGGGGTCCTACAGACCCAGCAGACCAGGATCAGGAGATACATACCTGAGATCTACAGGTGTTGGACTCTGTAGGAGCCTTTCAGTCCGTTAAACCAGAACCACATTGTTTACTTCATGTCATCACATCAAACATAAATACTTTTACACACAAAATTTATGCATTAAAAAGAAATGTGTAATCATGATTTTAGTAAATAAAATAACGCTGCCTGACACCTGAAGACCAGCCTCCAATAAGGATATTCAGTCTTTGTGTGAAGACTTATGTTTTTCTCCTTTGTTTGTCCGTCCTCTTCTTCTTCCATCACCAGGTCTACGGGCAGAAGCTTGATCAGGGAGGTCCACAACACTGAGGAAGCTGCACTGATCCTTCTGTCACTCTCACGCTCCACTCCTCCCTCACTTGTGAACAAAACTCTAAGATTTCCTGATGCAGCTCAGTCATCCAGGTAGAAAACATCAAAAAGAAAAAATCAGTAGGTCCTCTGGATGGTTCTTCTTTAATGAAACGTTTCGTCTCTCCTCCAAGAGACTTCTTCAGTCTGATGAGCTTCAGGTGAACTCAGTCTTATAAGCTCCACCTCCATCTGGACAAACAGGTTAGTCACATGCAAAAGAGGACCATCGGCTAACAATAGGCTTGATTAGCTCTATTGTTCATAGAGGGTCATGTGCTCCATCATCTGACCCGTGTTGTGTTATGTGAATGTAGTGAATGCAAGCGGGGGTTCAACGTCCCCTTGTTTTTTTCCCTCTTTGTGTTGGTTATCATTGGGGCCCTGATTCACACCTTTTGCTCACAGGAGGTGGAGTCATACTTGCAATAACAGCG